GCCAAGTTTTCACCAGCTTTCTAAAAGTCAGGAGAGAAGGAGCAGTTCTAATCTCCAGTGGGAGAGAGTTCCAGAGCCGAGGGGCCACCACCGAGAAGGCCCTGTCCCTCGTCCCCACCAAACGCAGTTGCGAGGGTGGTGGAACCGAGAGCAGGGCCCCTCCGGAAGATCTTAACAACCTTGATGGTTCATAGGGGAGAATAGAGGAGAAATAAAGGACTTCCAAAGTGAACATCAATTGCATTCAAGTCGGTGCAGCTACAAGCAAATGTTATTGGACCTATATTTGTGTGGTATGTGAATGTACATAATTTTTGGGATCCTGTGCAATAACAGGAATTATGAACGTCTGGCATTTACTATCTAGTCTACATTACAATAGAAAAAGGCATTTTTGAGAATTTTATGAAGTAAGCATGAGCAGTGGAAGCAGAAAGCTCAAGCCTGAGTATTCTGGAGTTTTTTAAAAAAGGGATATGTTTATAGTGTGAAGCTCCTCTTTCTAGGGATAAAGGTAGTAATAGTGTTTGCGGGCACAACAACAACAACAACAATAATAATAATAATAATAATAATAATCTTTATTTAATACCCAGCACAATCTCTCCAATGGGGACTCGGGGCGGCTTACATGAGGCAAAGCCCAACAGCATATTACAATAAACACAATAAAAACACAGTAAAATACATACAACATATGAGTATAATTATGATAAAGCAAAATCATACACAGTAAAATAACATAACATAACAATGAGCGGGCTGCATGTGCAAGATAAAAACTAAGATACTAAAAATACTAAAATCAGGATGAGATGGCGATGGAGCAGATAGTTTGTGGAGGAGAAACTCGTAACAGAACGGGGACATAAATATAGACTTTCATACAGGTTGGGACAAAAAAAACCGCTGAGGGGAGCAACTGTGTATAATAGTATGGCTACTCTCCAAAAGCACATCGGAAAAACCACAAAAAACATGTTCAACTCGTTGTGTGAACTGTGACTGCAAACCAAGCTTGCATCTCTCTGGCAGCATATCAGATACGGGCTTATTTATATCCACACATGAGTCCATATTTTCTGTCGGCATCCTAATCCAGGATGATGAGGGAAGTTAATTTGAGAGAATTAGAACATATTGTGGCATTCCATTTAAATTAAGCTTAATAGTTTAATAGGTTTTAAGCCCATTTACATTATTTTATAACTATATTTTATGTGGTCTTAGGCTGTTTAAATTGATTTTATTTGTATTCTGTCCCTGACAGTATACAAATAAAATAATTATTTTACACTAGCTGTATCCACCACACGTTGCTATGGCCAACCTTCCCCCCTTCTTTCTCGCCTTCCTTCTTTCCTTCCTTCCTTCCTTCCTTCCTTCCTTCCTTCCTTCCTTCCTTCCTTCCTTCCTTCCTTCCTTCCTTCCTTCCTTCCTTCCTTCCTTCCTTCCTTCCTTCCTTCCTTCCTTCCTTCCTTCCTTCCTTCCTTCCTTCCCTTTTTTCTTTCCTTCTCTCCTTCCTTCCTTCTCTTCTTCTTCCCTTCCTTCCCCCCTTTTCTTTCCCTTCCTCTTTCTCCCCTTTCTTCCTTCCATATCTATTCTTAGACTGTAACTCCCAGAAGTCCTTCTGATTAATCTATCTACCTACCTATCTATCTCTATCTAATCTATCTATCTGGAGGGTTGCTGGGAGTTGCAGTTCAGGAATAGGAAATTGGAAATACGCAGGGATTGGGATGCTCTCAAAGAAATCCAAGAAGAAAGCTTGGAGCTTGGAAGCAGTGCATTGGGATCATCCTCCTCTCCTAAAGGGCCTTGTCTAGGGGCTGCTGGGAGCTGTAGTCCAGAAGAGAGTGTGGACAGGGGTGGCTCAATGCATTACGCAAAGTAAACATTTGCAGTATAGTTGATTTTGCCCAGGGGTACTCTTGGGGGAAAATAGACCTTGACATATGCAAGTTGTAGTTACTGGGATGTATAGTTCACCTACAATCAAAGAGCATTCTGAACTCCACCAGTGATGGAATTGAACCAAATATGGCACACAGAACTTCCACGACGAACAGAAAATATATATCAGTGATTGGTTTGGGGGGGAGGCGACAAAATACTGTTTGCTTACCGTTGAAAATTACCTAGGGACACCTCTGAGTGAGGATATGTTATTGTGTGTTTTGTTTGCCGGGGGGAGTCATTTTTGTGCATGCGCTGAAGCATCTGTTTGCTTTTTTTGGCTTTTAAAGTCCCGTCCGTTGTGTTTTTCAGTGTTTTTATGAGTGATGGTCACTCGTTGGCCTGATAGGTGTATTGTGTCCAAATTTTGTGTCAATTCGTCCAGTGGTTTTTGAGTTGTGTTAATTCCACAAACAGGGGCGGCTCAACCATTACGCAAAGTAAGCCTTTGCAGTATAATTGATTTTGCCCGGGGGCGCTCTTGAGGTGCTCTTGGGGGAAAATAGACCTTGATATGCGAGTTGTAGTTACTGGGATGTATAGTTCACCTAAAATCAAAGAGCATTCTGAACTCCACCAATGATGGAATTGAACCAAATATGGCACACAGAATTCCCACGACGAACAAAAAATATATATCAGTGATTGGTTGGGGAGGGGGGGGGGCAAAATACTGTTTGCTTACCATTGAAAATTACCTAGGGCCGCCTCTGCCCACAAACGACCATTACATTTTTATTTATATAGATGGGGGCTTCCTGTATATAGATATGGATATATTTTGTGCAGGAGAAAAATAAAATGTGCAGTAGGAAATATGAGTTTTTGATATTGGCAATCTAAACTTTAACCAGGAATTAAATCTACAATTTCTTAAATGAAATTGATAAGAGAAAGAAACAGTATATTAAAACAATGGGTGTTGCCTTTCAGTCTTTATACTCTTAAATGTGTTTATTGTTATGTGTGTTTGATATACCGTATATACTCAAGTATAAGCCGACCCAAATACAAGCCGAGGTGCCTAATTTTACTACAAAAAACTGGGAAATCGTATTAACTCGAGTGTAAGCCAAGGGTGGGAAATGCAGCAGCTATGGGCCAATTTCAAAATAAAAAATAGATACCAATGAAATTAAATTAATTGATGCATCAAATTAAAATCGGCATGCAGCATTTAGTTGCTCTGCTTCCATGACATTAAAGAGATGCGAGACATTTGCATTGCATACACAATCCAACAGGGTTTAGTGTGAAAATATTTTACTATGGTCCTGGATAGAAGAAGCAGAGGAAAAAACAAAAACAAGGCATCCAAATATGGGAAACGTACATGAGTTTTCTGATAAGCATAACAATGTTTGCAGAGGTGGCCCTAGTTGCAGAGGCGCCCCCCCCCCAACCAATCACTGATATATATTTTCTGTTCGTCGTGGGAGTTCTGTGTGCCATATTTGGTTCAATTCCATCATTGGTGGAGTTCAGAATGCTCTTTGTTTGTAGGTGAACTATACATCCCAGTAACTACAACTCGCATATGTCAAGGTCTATTTTCCCCCAAGAGCGCCTCAAGAGCGCCCCTGGGCAAAATCAACTATACTGCAAATGCTTACTTTGCATAATGTGTTGAGCCGCCCCTGAATGTTTGCAAACTCTATGCCTGGTTAGTAGGGGGGGTGAGAGCTAAACAGAAGGAAAACCAGGAAAAATGTGAAGCTCCACACCAATGCGTAGACCTGTGCTGGGGATGAGTATTCATATATCAAGCATGGTGCAAATGATCGATAATGTTCTAGCTACCATATATTTATCTTTGCACCAAATATACACCTATGACATTTGGAACACAGAATTCATGTGGTCTTTGGCTTCTGAGAAATATTTTAACCAACACTAATAAATTTGTTTCAAGCGAAAGCATTGTTTACTAAAAATCATAGGTAGAACTTAAAACTATATACATAAAAATGCTCTGGTCATAATGAGTACCTTAAAAACAAAAGAACCAAGGAACGAAATCACACCAAATTTGGCAACAAAACGTCTCACAACACAAGGAGGGACCATCACTCAAAAATTATGATTTTGTCATTTGGGAGTTGTAGTTGCTGGGATTTATAGTTCGCCTATAATCAAAGAGCATTCTGAACCCCACCATTGATGGAATTGAACCAAATTTGGCACACAGGACTCCCATGTCCAACAGAAAACACTAGAAGGGTTTGGTGGGCATTGACCTTGAGTTTTGGAGTTGTAGTTCACCTACATCTAGAGAGCACTGTGGACTCAAACAGTGATGGATCTGGACCAAACTTGGCACGAATACTCAATATGCCCAAATATAAACACAGATGGAGTTTGGGGGAAATAGACCTTGACATTTGGGAGCTGTAGTTACTGGGATTTATAGTTCACCTACAATCAAGGTGCATTCTGAACCCCAACAACGATGGAATTGGGCCAAACATCCCACACATAACCCTTATGACCAACAGAAAATACTGTGTTTCCTGGTGGGCTTTGGTGACCCTTCTGACAACCCCTGGTGACCCCCCCCCCCGGGTCTTGACTTCCTAAGTTGAGAAGTGCTGCCTTAAGGCTATCCAGTCCAACTCCCTTCACCAGAGCAAGAAAACATAATCAAAGCCCTCCTGACAAAGGGCCATCCAGCCATTTACACACACACACACATATGTGTATGACAGATGCAGTATCAAAGATTTGAAAGGGACCCCTAAAGAAGGACAATTATATGTTGTATAGTAGGCAAACCAGACAATTTCCACATCAACACTGGCAAAGAAAAAGCAAAAAATACTGTTTACCCACAAGCATAAAGACATTACATATATTAGAAACCAACACTTTCTCATTACTTTATTTTCCAGATCACCAGACTGGGCCACAGCAACGCATGGCAGGGGACTGCTAGTATATTATAAATGGCTCAAAATTGTTTGGGGTCAGTGCAATTTCTTGCAGTTTGCAGGATAGGATTTCTTTTTGTTTGTCTTTTTCAATATCGGTTCTCTGTCATCCTCCAGGGAAGGGAAACTACTGGACCTTGGACCCAAACTGTGAGAAAATGTTTGACAATGGAAATTTCCGCCGCAAGCGCAAGAGGCGCTCCGACCCGAATGCCTCTGCTGTGACCTCCACTGTTTCTACCTTGGGCACCCTGAAGACTGAGGAAGGGCACTCGATTTCTTTAGCTGCAGGAAAGCCCAGCGGTGAAAGCCCCTCCTCAGAGCTCGAACCAATGACTTCCATGCGGAGCCATTCGAAGAGTGCCTCTCCACCTGTGATCGTCTCGCCTACTCCCAGTTGCCTTAGCAGCTTTTTCAGCGGCATGAACTCGCTCAGCAATGGAGGCCGTCTTCCAGGGAGCTTCAGCAGTGATTTACACCACCGAAACCTCCCGGCTGGGCCACTGAGTGGGAGCAGTTTTGCCCAGGATGTCCCCCCTACGGAGCAGCTCCAGCGGGTTTCCGGGCCAGCTGGGGCCTATTACAGCCCATTCCATCCTGGCAGTGGTGGCCAATCGGGCCAGTACAACCACTTATACAACTTCACAGTCAACAGCCTCATCTATGCACGGGAAGGCACTGAAGTGTAACCCAGTTGTGTAGGCAAACCTTGGTCCTACTAGGCCAAGTAGAAGAAGGCCAGGTTATTATTATGCATCTGAGAAGACAATGTCCCCCTTCCACTCTTAAAATTGACTTCAGGCAGGACAACTTTCAGAGCCAGGAACAAAAAGCTTTTGACACTTGATCTTTAGGGAGGAATGTACAGCACATTCTGGACTTCAAAGTATTTCTTTTGCATATTACCAGCATCTCACGCATTTTGTAAATGAGGACCACTTAGACTGATTTGACATGTTTTCAGTTTTGGTATTAAAATCTACTTTTTTAAGCTGGGAAGAGAACCAAATATCAAGAAGTATATTGTTTGTTGGCTGTTGGGGGGAGGGATTGATGTGTATTTTGGGCCTCTGTTTACAAGTGCTATGGTATAAAAAAAAACAGATGAAGAGATTAAATGAAGTGCCTTGAACAATGTAAAAATGTAGTTGCCTTTGTTGAGAAGGTTCGGTTTGAAACTTCTGTTAGCCAGCCTTTCACTACCATAGACTTTTTCTTCAGTCCATAGAAAGGCACCAAGCAGGGATTTCTTGGGCCCCTGGGGTTTTTGGGTTTTTTTTTTATGCTAACATGATTTTTGCAAATTTGATTTGGACAGGGCTGGCCCTATCATTAGACAGATTTATGCAACATCTTCACATGGTACATATTGGGATACATTCAGTTACTGATGCATTTCATTTCCGTAGGTAGACTGAGGGGTATCAGAATGTCTTAGCCCAGGGGTCCTCAAACTACCGTCCGCGGGCCGGCCCCGGCCCCCCAAGGTCATTTATCTGGCCTGCAGGGTGAGGAGAAGGGTGAGAGGCGGCAGATGAAGTGGCTTTGGGGCCGCTTCATCCACAGCCTTCCTGGGCCCAGCCTGCTCTTCTCCTGCCTTCGGGACGCAGCCTCGCCACATCCCGAAGGCAGGAGAGCGGGGGAGGCGGAGGGCGAAGCGGCTTTGGGGCCGCTTCACCCGTTGCTTCCCTGGGCCCAGCCTGCTCTTCTCTTGCCTTTGGAACATGACCTCGCCCCATCCCAAAGGCAGGAGAAGGAGGAGACATGGCTGGCAAAGCGGCTTTGGGGCCGCTTTGCCCGCTGCCTCCCTGGGCCCAGCCTGCTCTTCTCTTGCCTTTGGAACATGGCCTCGCCCCATCCCAAAGGCAGGAGAAGGAGGGGACACGGCTGGCAAAGCGGCTTTGGGGCCGCTTTGCCCGCTGCCTCCCTGGGCCCAGCCTGCTCTTCTGCTTTCGGGACGTGACCTCACCGCATCCCGAAGGCAGGAGAAGGGGGGGAGGCAGCAGGCGAAGCAGCTTTGGGGCCACTTCACCCGCCACCTCCCTGGGCCCAGCCTGCTCTTCTCCTGCCTTCAGGACGTGACCTCGCCACATCCTGAAGGCAGGAGAAGGGGGGAGGGGCAGGCGAAGTGGCCCCAAAGCTTCCCTGGGCCCAGCCTGCTCTTCTTCTGCCTTTCGGACGTGGCCTCACCACATCCCGAAGGCAAGAGAATGGGGGGAGGCGGCAGGCAAAGCAGCTTTGGGACCGCTTCACCCGCCACCTCCCTGGGCCCAGCCTGCTCTTCTCCTGCCTTCGGGACGCGGCCTCACCGCATCCCGAAGCCAGGAGAAGGGGGGAGGGGCGGCCCCAAAGCTTCCCTGGGCCCAGCCTGCTCTTCTCCTGCCTTTCGGACGTGGCCTCACCACATCCCAAAGGCAAGAGAATGGGGGGAGGCGGCAGGTGAAGCAGCTTTGGGGCTGCTTCGCCCGCCGCCTCCCCCCCTTTCGGACATGGCCTCACCGCATCCGAAGGCAGGGGAAGGGGGGGGGGGAGGCGGCAGCGGGCAGCTTTGAGGCCGCTTCGCCCGCTGCCTCCCCAAGTTTATATTTGTTAAAATTGTTCTTCATTTTAATTATTGTATTGTTTTAAAGTGTTTTTTGGACTACAAATTGGATATGTGCAGTGTGTATAGGAATTCATTGTTTTTTTCAAATTATAATCCGGCCCTTCAGCAGTTTGAGGGACTGTGACCGAGCTTTCTGTTTAAAAAGTTTGAGGACTCCTGTCTTAGCCAGTCCTGGATTTGGAAAACCAGCATGTGCACCAGTGTATATGGAAATAAATTTCAGCAAAATTTATGGGGCAGGTCTGATGGAAAAATTATGCAATAATACAACCCCCTTATCCACAATTCAATCACCACACTCCCAAAAATATTCCCTCACCAGAAGTGCTTGTGGACCTCTCTAGGTCTTCCTGTGAGATTCTATGGTATGCTTCCAGCCTACATAGAGTATCAGGTTTATTATAATCTACAGTTGTGATGGCACGCCGGGGTAAAAGGAAAACTATATGTCTGACTATTCCCGGTGGCTATCGATATACCCTCTGATGTACTTCAGTTCTTTAAAAATAAAGACTCTTGAGACAGGATTAAAGTTAGCTAAATAAGTTTACTGCAAACAAAAGGCAGAGTTAACTTCAGTCAGGGTTCTTGAAAGGTGAATCAAAATAAAATATTACAAAGACAAAGTTTGCTGATTGAACTTAGTTACACTGGTAATAAACACTTGACTATATTCGTAAAATATGAGGTAAAATACTTGACTATAATTTGGTAAGTCACTTGGTATAATACTTGGCTATTGAAAGTAAAATAATGGACTTTATTATCTGTAAATACCGTATATTCTGGCATATAAGACAACTGGGCGTATAAGACGACCCCCAACTTTTCCAGTTAAAATATAGAGTTTGGGATGTATTCACTGTATAAGACTACCCCTCTTCCAGCATACACCAAATAAAATTTTTAAAAGCATCAGATTTGATTTCAATATGGCAATTTTCCTATTACTGTACCTCCTTCTCTGCCTCTCAGATCTCGCACATGTGCACCTGCACCGCTTCACTGCAGTCTTCAGGAGCGAGATCTGAGAGGCAGAGGAGGAGGTACAGTAATAGGATGCAAGGGTGGGCCAGGCAGGTTGTGTTTTTCTGGTTCCATATCCCGGGCGCTCCAGACGCCTGCAGCTTGCTCTGCCGTTTACTTTCACCTTCCCGGTGAGGCACCCCGTCACCTCATCATCGGGACTGCATTAAGTCCATGAATCCTGATGAATGGATTTTCTTCTACCATAATTGTACAGCGTCGCCCTTAATGCTTTCATACAGTCGCTGCATACGGCAGGGACACCACCACTGCCATTTTAGAGCTCCCCCCACAATATGCAGCAACCGCAGATTCTCCAATCCGGATTGGAAGTTTCAGCACCCGCTCTATAAGACAACTCCTGGCGTATAAGACTACTCCGGCATATTCACTTCACTTCACTTCACTTTATTTCTTAATTAGTCGCTCTCCACCAAGGTGCTCCGAGCGACTTACAGTCTAAAATCGCATTTACACAGTATAAAAACATTCAACATAAAAACATTCAACAGTGACTTTTTGGCAAATTAGATCTGATTACTTAAATGCACAATCAAACAGCCAAGTCTTGAGTGCCTTTACAAAAGGTCGCAACTCCGACATTGCTCTAATATATGGAGGCAATGAGTTCCACAGAATTGGAGCATAGGTCGAGAAAGCTCTACGCCTTGTAGCTTCCAGGTGTACCTCCCTAGGGCCCGGTATGTATAGGAGATTTTCCTGGGTGGATCAAGGTGACCACTGATGGAGAAAAGGAATGAGGCGGTCCCTAAGATATAAAGGTCCTTGGCCATTTTGAGCTCTAAATGTCAGGATCAGTATCTTATAAGAGATCCGATGTTCTATTGGTAGCCAATGCAGTTGTTGCAGAATCGGTGTAATATGGGATCTTATAGATGATCCCGCTAGCAGCCTGGCCGCTGCATATAAGACGACCCCATGCATAAGACTACTCTCATGTATAAGATGACTCCCACATATAGGATGACCCCTGACTTTTGAGAAGATTTTCTTGGGTCAAAAAGTAGTTTTATACGCCAGAATATATGGTACTTGGCTATATTGGCAACAGTAAGGTACTTGGCTATTGATATAATACAGAACTACAATGATAACGTACAGATCTATAACAATTATATGGTAAAGGTACAAGTTATATGCTAAAGTACTCTGGGCTATAGTGTAAAATACTAGGCTATGATGGTCAGTACAAGCTGTGATGCTGGTATGTACAAGCTATAGTGACTATGTGGTATATTCGTGCTATAGAATGTCTGTGTAGATTGCCAGGCCAATGAACCCAGACAATTTCTGGCCTTCTCTTCTAAAACTCTGACACAGAATAAATAGGAAGGGAAAATGTTTTAGACAAGTTCTGAGGCAAAATGGTGAAACTAACTGAGCCAGGCCTTTAGGGGGTTTTTAAGCTCCACCCCTAAAACTAAGCACAAATGGAAAAGTCCACACCTAAGGGAGAACAAAACAGGAAATGAAACAGAGGAGGGAAAAGATTAGGCCAAGACATAGAATCATAGAATCAAAGAGTTGGAAGAGACCTCGTGGGCCATCCAGTCCAACCCCCTGCCAAGAAGCAGGAATATTGCATTCAAATCACCCCTGACAGATGGCCATCCAGCCTCTGTTTAAAAGCTTCCAAAGAAGGAGCCTCCACCACACTCGGGCAGAGAGTTCCACTGCTGAACGGCTCTCACAGTCAGGAAGTTCTTCCTCATGTTCAGATGGAATCTCCTTTCTTGTAGTTTGAAGCCATTGTTCCGCGTCCTAGTCTCCAAGGAAGCAGAAAACAAGCTTGCTCCCTCCTCCCTGTGGCTTCCTCTCACATATTTATACATGGCTATCATATCTCCTCTCAGCCTTCTCTTCTTCAGGCTAAACATGCCCAGCTCCTTAAGCCGCTCCTCATAGGGCTTGTTCTCCAGCCCCTTGATCATTTTAGTCACCCTCCTCTGGACACATTCCAGCTTGTCAATATCTCTCTTGAATTGTGGTGCCCAGAATTGGACACAATATTCCAGGTGTGGTCTAACCAAAGTGGAATAGAGGGGTAGCATTACTTCCCTAGATCTAGACACTATGCTCCTATTGATGCAGGCCAAAATCCCATTGGCTTTTTTTGCCGCCACATCACATTGTTGGCTCACTTGGTGTCCACGAGGACTCCAACATCACAACAGTTATAGGTATCCATAGGGAGGAGGGTATTGGAACTCAACTTCTATGCACATGGAGGTCACACTATAATACAATATGTTCCCAGCTGCCAAGGTATATGGTTAGTTTTCAACTGCCAGCAGTGAGAAGGATATTACAAACTTGAATCTCTTCTATGGGTAATTATGGATCAAGCAAAAACGGTGCCTCTCCAACATTTATGGGGTGATGTGTCCTCCTCATTTGGCCCAAGAGCCATTGCTGTCTTTCACCATGAAAAAGTTCCTGGCATAGAGAATATATGTATGTTCCAAGACAGGCTTCTCTATTATTATGTTTGTCAAGCAGTGTGGAAGTATAACACTTTCAGACCAGCATCCTGGATCAGTTCAGTTCTAGGGCTGTGGGACCATAATAATTGGACAGGTCCCTTGCGTCCATGTTTTGTGGTGGGGCCCTGATGCCAGCATCAGTACTTATTTTTGAAAATTATGTAGTTTTGTACCAAAGATGTATTTTTTTCAGCATTCAGTTTTTTCCGAAGCAGTATATTGGGTATTTTTTATATATATAAATGCTACTTTGTCGTATCCTACTCTGTAAATTTATTTTTACACGAGTCTTTATTTGTAAATTATGAACTGGAAATTGTACTTATTTATAATGCTTTGGGAAAGTTTTATGTTTTCTCTCCAGTAGTACATTGAGGACATCTAGAAATGTTGGGAATAAAACTGTTAAACGTTGCTACCTTTTAAAACATTCCTTCATGATCCATTTTTGAGAGATTTTGCAATTTGCACACAGGCTGTAGACATGCTAGCTTGTGGAAAAGGTTCTCAATTCACTGACATATTTTATTTTCTAGAACAGTATTTATTTATTTATTTAAAATATATTTAAAACT